GGTGCCTAAGGTGCAAAATTTAAGAAGGCCTCAATCTCAGGTGCTAACCGTGTACTTGCATGACACTGAGAGTGAGTGTCCTCTTAAAACGTGCACCCCAGGCTCTTTGCTTCCTCCCAGCCCTGGTTCTTGCCAGGGGCTGAACAGCGTGGACCGGCCTTCAAGACACCTCGGTTAAGCACTGGCACATTTTTTAAGGATCTCTAAGTACAGAGATAGATTAAACTCTGGGTCCTGACAACCTTCTTGTTTTTCCATTTGATCAACCTTTTTGCATTTACCTTGGTTAAAGTTTGCTTTCCCCACTAATAAAATGAACTCTTTGGGGTATCAGCTCAGTGGTGCCTCCCTTGGGCTTTATTTCTTCCCAGAGCTTAGCTCTTGACATGACTAGATTTCAGAGACGTGGCCTCAAATTATGACTTTGCCACGAATTAGTTATGCTCTTGGAAAAGTCACTTTGTCTCCCTGCGTCTCAGGTGTTTCATCCAAGAAATGGGGCTACTGAAACCTCATTTACAGAGTTGTTACAAAGATGAAGTGGAAATAATCTAAGTACCTAAAAGGCACATAGCAGTGTTCAGCAGACGCTGGCTCTCTTCCCTTTTCTTTTACTGGCCCACCCTTGTGCCAAATTCTTCTTTCCCAGGATTCTAACTAAGGTGATACAGACAGCCAAGTAATCTTAAGTCACAGGTGGGTGTTACCCAGGTGGCAGCAGATTCTATGCCTGGCCTTGCCTAGTACTTGCTGTACAGTGGGAGTGTTGAAAAGCAAAATCTAACTACAAAGGTGATTTGGTTGGTGAAACATCCCAAAGTATTTTCTACTTCAAATATACATTATTGCTTTTTTTCCCTCTCTTGGATGACCGGAGTAATTCGAGTTGTTTATTGAGATTAAATTTTGTAGTCATCCCAGGATTAGATTTTCAGTTTATCAAACTACGTTAAGATGTACATACATCCAAATAGCAATCTCTAGTATATGAAATATTCTTTTGGTGAGGACAACAGGGAGCAGATAAAAATCATGCTGTAACAGGTAATACATTGTTCCCAATATGGGACAAGTGTTACACATAATGTTTTTAAATTCATTTCACTCTTTTTGGAAACACTGTCACCAAAAGGAACAAAACTACAGAACTGCATGCAGAAGGCAAGTACTGCTGTCATGTATTTACAAATTTTTTACATTCAGATTTTTAATAGATTGGAATGGGGTTGGGAGGCTTTTTTGTTATTCTTTAATAAGCTTGTGCAAATACAGCCCATGGGTTTTCAGTCTATAAGCCAACTCTTAGGGAATGGAATAGAACATAGAAATCATTTGATTAAAAGATCTAGTGATTTGGTTGCTACACAATGGTTTCAAAGTTTAAAACTGAGTGTGAGGGACCCCGCAATGACAACAGCTCAGACTCAGAGGAGTTTAGAGACAGTTCCTCAGGTCTTGTCACAAGCTAGTCCTTCCAAATAATGATTCTGCATGACTGGGGAATGATTTAACATGCAGTCTTGGAAAGTTGAAAGGGTCTTTCACCCTATTTTCTGATCACAACGTATATTTCCTAATTGAGCAAGATGAGCCATGGCTTCTACCAAGGAACCATTGTTTAAAGTGATAGTCCCATGAATCAAGTTAATTCTTGTGCTGACAAGAAAGTCGGAATTTTTCATTAGTCTTAAAAGCTCTTAACCATAAGTTTCAGATAGATAGCATTTTAAGTTAAAACGTCTTGTAAATGACCGTCTCTTTTGCATTTCAGCATCATGGTTGTATGCGCAATGTGCTCACATTAGGTCTCAATTTTTCCTTTTAGCCAGCATAGTTGGGGAATGAAACAGACAGGTCGTTGTGTGTTTTTGCCTGCACCGGGGACCCATTCTCAAATATGCTTGCATTCTTTTCAAACATATTGTTTAAACCCTTTTCAAAAGTCCCATCTACAGCCTAGAGGCAGGAGAAAAAAAAATTGGATTGTTGCATTTTAAAAGGTCCACGTAATGATACCTGCAAAAATGTCAGGCATTTGAGTCACATTCCTGCAATGACAACCATAAGTAGCAAAATGAAGTCTCTTCCTTCCATCTGGAGGGTTAGGATTTTCCATAACCTTGAACTCAGTTGTCCTGAGCATAAATGAATGAGTATATTTGTGTTCCAATGAAATCTTATTTATGAACACTGAAATTTGAATTTCATATAGTTTGCCTATGTCATGAAATATTCATCCTTTTGATTATTTTTGCCCAACTATTTAAAAACCACTCCTAGCTCTTGGGCTGTATAAAAACAGGTAGCAGGCTGGGTTTAGCTCTTGAGCTAAGTTGTAGTTTGCTGCAGTAAGTATTAGACCAGATTTGAAACCAGGCAGGATGGGTCCAGTGAGCTCCTAACATATATATATATATATATATGTATGTATGTATATGAATTATATGTATATATATTCAATATGATAATAATAGTAGTAAATTACATTCTTTACAGAAAATGAAGGATGAAAGACAAAATAGCAACTACCCATAAAACCACAACCCAGAAATAACCACTAGTAAATATTTGATACTTTCTTCCACTCTTTTGCAGCATTCAATTTATTAATTTTGGTTTCTCACTTATCATAAAAGTTTTCATGTTTCCACCCAGGACACATAATTATAATAATTAATAGATATGTGATAGTTAATTTTATTTTACTTTTTTAGGTTTTTCTTTTTGTTTGTTTTGGGGATTCTTTGGGGGGGGTGGTAATTAGGTTTACTTATTTATTTATTTTTTTCTGGACCTATGGGGGATTGAACCCAGGACCTCATGCCTGGTAGGCATGCTCTCTACCACTGAGCTATACCCTCCCCGCTCATGATCGTTCATTCCATTTATTTATTTATTTAATTTTGGATATGTATATATTTTTATTGCAGTATAATCAGTCTATATTCTGTCAATTTCTGGTGTACAGCATAATGCTTCAGTCATATATGAACATATATATATTTATTTTCATATTCTTTTTCACCACAAGTTACTATAAGATGCTGAATATAGTTCGCTGTGCTCTACAGTATGAACTTGCTGTTTATCTAGTCTATCTATAGTAGTTAGTATCCGCAAATCTCAAACTCCCAATTTATCCCTTCCCACCCCCTCCCTGCTCTGGTAACCATAAGTTTCTTTATTATGTGAGTCTATTTCTGTTTTGAAAATAAGTTCATTTGGCTTTTTTTTTTTTAGATTCCACATATAAGTGATACGATAGTTCATTTTAAATGTACTAGGGGATATTGCTATTTTGAAAAAATCCTACAGCTAATAATTTCATAAAGCAGACTCTTTTGATTAAATTGGTCACTTTTCATTTATCTGCCACATGTTTGCATTCCTAGGAGTTGAATTTTCAAACATGATCTTGTCTGCAGACAGGGATGTAGGAGAAAGGCCTTAGAGTCCACCAGACCAGCATTTGACATCTCAATGTTCCCTCATCAGCCAAATGGCCCTGAACAAACCAATACCTCTTGTTAATTTATCTGAGGTGTTAAGTGAGGTGTTGTTAGTGGACACCTCAGTTTTCCCTTGTTCTAATGATCAACCAACACCACCATATATAATGTCCTGAGCACAGATCCAGCACAGGATCATGGTCACTTGGTAGCAGACAGCCCTGGCGTCCCCTGCCACCCCACCACTCCCAGTGACCACCACCACCGCAGGAAATATGTTATTTCACTCAAGACTACAGAGAAAACATCCTTTTCTGTTCTCAGCAGAACCAGTTTTATTTCTGGAGTGAAAATGGGCAGGCAGGAACAAACGTAAAGAAAAGGATTAATGAGGTAGGTGGACCTGACCTGGAAGCGTCCACCCCGCCTCCCGCCACTCCTATCCCACCCCAACCGGGAGATTTTAATCAAAGTTTCCAAACTGAAGCAGTGCACAGGTTCCTACAACAGCAAGGTGGCCTTTTGACATCAGCAGAGGCTGTGTTCTTCTGCACAGGTACAGGGGACCTCCAGCCCAGACATCTGGAAAGAATTCAGAGCCCAGCCAATTCCATGAGCAGCAAAAACTCTGTGGAGCTGCTGAGGATGACAGCCCTCAGAACCCAGGGCCACAGCAACACCGGTTTCCAGGTGAGCAGATATTTTATCCTATGTTTAAGACCAAGGAAATACTGCTCTTTCCCTGCCTTTTTGGCATGTTTCTTAACTAAAGCAGTGGGGTTATTGGAACGCAGTAAGATTTTTAATGTCACGCGTTAAGCCTATTATTTTTTCTTTTTTGTTTATTCTTGGCTTGAGAAACCTGTAAAGTCTCTTTGAATCGAAACTGTTTTGATCCCTGACTTGCCCTGTCACTTAAAAACAAGACTGTCCTCTCCTGCTTTTTTTGCCCTTAGGCTCGTGTGGCAGGAATATAACATGTACCTGTAGACATTTTCCCAAAGGGTTGGTGAGAAAGGAAGAATGGGGAACAAGCCAGATCCTGGATGTAATCAGCACCTCAGGGTCCCTTTCTCTTTAACCGGGTCTCAGAGCCCCTGTTAGATGGTGGCCTGGGTACCCGTCCCAAGCAGCCGGATTATGCAAACCATCTCACATCATCAACCAAAACTCACTGAGTGATTAATGCTGCTTGGCCCAGGGCTAGGTGCCGCAGAAGGAGTCTTGTCACTGGAAAACACCGGCTTTCCGACTAGGTCTGGGATGGGGATTTTGCAGGGCTGTTCCCGGAATGCGTCCTCTCCTGAGCTGACACCCGACTCGGGGAGGCCACGTGAGCAGGTGTCAGCAATCTCTTAGGGTTGAGCATCAATAAACAGGCAAAACAAGTGTTTAGGCACGAGCAAAGAAAGGAACAAGGAAGGTAAAGGGGCTTTGACTTGAGCCTTGAGTCTTCCACCCACAAGTTATTGTAACTTCCCTGATCCTCAGTTTAGTTGTCTGTATAGTGGTCACAGTCATGCTCATTTCATAGGTTATAAATGTAGGGGAGGAAAAATCTTTCCCTCCACCCTCTTAGATTCAGCTCCTGAGGTCTATAAATTAAACTGACAAATGGCAGCTCAACAAGCAAAGGCATACACAATTTTATAATTTTTTGTACACATAAAATTCACCGAAAAAGACAGCTTCACAGAAAAGAAATGAAAAGCCCAAAGAAGCAGTAAGACTTAGAGGCTTATATACCATTTTAAAAAGGAAGATAAATTGTGGAGAACTGATTAGACAAAGGGGGAAAGTGAGGTTGTGCTTTCAGGGCCAATAAATTGTGAGACAGTGACTAGGAAATATGTGGAGGTAACTACTGGAAGATAAGGTTTGCTAATCAGGTATCTCCTGGCATCTCGGTCTCCAGTGATAAGGGATGTTTTCTTTCTTTTATGGGGTGAGGGTGGAACATTTGCATAAGGGAAAATTATGCCCTGCTTTTAGGCAGATGAAGGAAGGGCAGAGAGCTCTTTCTGGGCCTACTTTTTCTCATTTGCCTTCAGCTCAAAATAATTCTTACACCAAAGTGGCATATTTTGGGTGGCATATCCTGATCCCCATCCTAAGGGTTCAATAAGAAGAAAAGCCCACAGCAGGGAGCCTTTTATGAGTCAAAAGAATGGAGGGGATAGAATGCAATAAAGAGTTAAAGTGAACATGGCAGCAGGAGAAAGGTAACTGTAGTGGAGAAAGGTCATGTCACTGGCAGCTGGCTGCCCAGGGGCAGTGGCGAGGAGACACAGCCACCCACCGCGGCCCTGCGTTCCATCCCTCACGCTCTTCGGCCCCAGCAGAGCATCTCCAGGCCTCGGGGTACAGAGCAGGGCATCTCAGGCCCAGCAGAGCACCGCACATCAGCACCGACAAGCACTGACCAGGTTATTTGTCCAGGGCTTGCTCTTCACCAGGAGTCTCCAGAGACATGTATTTACTCAGCAAAATTGTTACCTGCCCCCTAGCTATGGCCACTGCCAGAACAATTCAAGAAGGAACAATATGCTACTCGTGCAACAAGGAAGGAAAGAGAATACCAGTGAGGGCTTAAAGGTGGGCAGGGATTTCCCAGTTGAAGAGGGAGGGGCATCAGCTAAGCACTGCAAACTAAGAGAACTGTCCGTGCCCAGGCCCGAGGGCCCCAACGTGGGCTGCAGATACAAAATGATGAGCAGCCGCTCTTAGTGCTGGGGCAGGTTAAAGAGAGCAACGAGTCCACATTAGAAACGCCAACTTGGAAGTGATTCCCTTTACATGGACAGGAAGAGGGTCAGAGCGAGGAAGAGAATGACTTCATTCTGAGGCCTCCTGGTTGAAATTAAGATGATACCAAACATCTGGATAAAGATGGTGATGGACCAGGAAGCTTTGGGCACATCTGCACCTGGAGCCTGGAAAGGGGCACCATACCTTTGGGGGCTGTTCGCACAGAGGTGGCCAAGGGAGTGGGTGGGACCACGTGGAGGGGAAGCTGGGAAGAACCTGTGTTTCAGGAGTGGGAAAGTTAAAGTCAGAGGATGAAGCAGAGAGGCCACAGGGAAAGAGACGACAGAACCAGGAGAGGAAGGGTCTGGGGGAGCCAGGGGAAAAAGAACCACAAGTTCAACATCAAAGACTCCTCCGTGGAACGAAGGAGACAAGTTCATTTGATTTGCTAACTAGCAGTTATTGGTGACCAGGGTGGGCACAGGGGACAGTTTGTATTATGAGTGGGAGTTAAGAGACTAGAGAAAATGAGGACAGAAAGGACGTTCCTCTGGCAGAGAGGAGAGGGGGAAGAGAGACAGGCTTCCGAGAGACAAGATCAGGGTTGTCGGCAGGGTTTTTCTTATAATTGTGAAATATAACATACAGAAAAACATGTGAAACCAAATAGACATCCTACTATAACGTGCCACCCAGGTCAATAAAAAAGACATTGCTATCCCTCAGCTGGAACACCTGCACCTTGCACCTCGGGTACAACTGCCTCCCTCCCCCGGGGGTAACACAGTTCCCAACTTTGTAGTGAGTACTTCCCCGCTGTGCTATATACCTTCACTTCTGATGATGAATCCTCAAGCACTGCCTTTGCCTGTTTTTGAATTTTATATAAACAGGAAATCATCAGAAAAATGATTTGCTTATTTCAGAACATTTACACGGAATTAAGTAAGATGAGTCATTTTGCATCGGACTTCTTTTGCTCAGCTTTCTGTTCCTAAGATTCAGCCATAGTACTGGGAGTAACTGGAGTTCATCCAATTTTACTGATACACAGTATTCTCCATCAACGTTGCACAATTTATGTTTTACTGTCAGTGGACTTGGTGTTAAGTTTGGAGCTTTGGGGAGCTCTGAATTCTCTTGCACATGTCTCTTGGTGAATAGGTAACACATTTATTCTGGGATTATTCTTAGGAGTGGCATGCTAGGTCCTTAGAAATGCATATACACTTTCAACTTTAATAATAATGACAAACTGGCTTCCTAAGTGGTTTTACCAACTTACATTTGCATCCAAGAGTGTGAGTTCCTATTAGTCCTTAGCCTCACCGACATTTACCTGGCTTGTTCATTTCAGTGATTCTGACAGGTGTACAGTAGAGTATGACTGAGGTTTGATTTTAATTTTCCTATGTAATCAGCCGTTAGATGTCTACTTATGAAATACTTGTTCAAGTCGCTTGTCCATTTTCTGTACTGGATTTTTGTCTTTTTCCTATTGATTTGAAAGCGTTCTTTAAAGGTTCCAATACAAGCCCTTTATCAGTTCTATGGTTCACAGATGTCTTGTACCACTCTGAATCTTTCAGTCTTTAACATTTTGGTGAACAAGTTAATTGCATTGAGGTCCCATTTATCAGGTGTTTCTGGTTTATATACCCTGTTTAAGAAATCTCTTCCTACCCTGCAAGATCATGAAAATGCCCTCCCATATTTTCAAAAAGTTTGTTCTTGCTCTCTACTCTGAAATTGATTTTTATGAATACTGTAAGGTGAGAGTCAAGTTTTCTGATTTTCTAAATGGACACTCAATTATTTCATCATCAATTTAAGAAAAAAAATCTTTACTTGACAAATACATTTGTCAATTGTCTGTATTTGGGGTAAGTTTTGTTTTTGTTTTTTTTTTTTAAGAATAGAGCAACTGAAAGATTTTTTCAAACTCAAAGAATGGGAAGGGATCCAGAGACAAGGAAGAGATGAAAATTGACAACAAGAGAGGCTGGATAAAATTCAGAACTTCTAAGGGTGAAAATCTAGGCACACACACCAGGGAAGCCTGGCTTGCTCCACAAATCGCCTGGTGAGCCAGTCAGGTTTAGAAAGGCTGTTAAATGTGCTCTTCATAAAAACTTAACATTAGAGTTGGCATGTACTGTAAATATAAAACACACGCTGGATTTTGGAGACTTAGTGTGAAACAAGGTGTGAAATATCTCATTAATGACTTTACACTGATTACGTGTGGAAAGGATATTTCCAATACATCAGGTTAAGTAAAAATATATTGTTAAAATTAGTTACACCTGTTTGATTTTACATTTTTAACAAACTCGTAGAAAAACTTGAAATTACACATGTAGCTTGCACTTTATTTCTATTAGATAACTCTGCCTTAGCCTTCAGCAAATATCTGTTTTTATCTATAGAATGAATGATTTATTGTTTCCTTTCCAATGTCATAACTACAATGAGTAAGTGGCTTTTTTTTTAAGGGAATTATTTTCAGGAATGCTTGAATGAGGGAAAAAGGAAAAGCCTTAAACCCTTCCTCTCTGAGACATCACGGAAGTGACACTGGTTAGTCACCTAGGCTGTTCTCCCCTGGAAATAAGTAAGTCTAGGTGTGATCATACAGATGTGAGGGAAGAGTAGAGAATGCATTTTTAAAAGAAGTTCTTTCACAAAAGCAAATCATTGTCATGTATTTTCTGTGTTTTAATGCACTTGTGAGGGAAAAAAAGCATCAAGATAGCTCTAGCCAAGGCTGTCGTGAGCTCTGTGAAAACACACTCGGGAACCTGAAGGTGTGATTCATGCTGACATCCCTGACTGGTGTGTTGGAGAAACAATTCTCTTCCTCCTTACGTTGCATAATTACTTCCAACCTCAGAAATTTTATATTCAAAGTATACAGGTTAGAAGTCTATGCTGGTGTTCCA